CTTTTGTCGTTTGTGCATGCACTTCGATTTTCAGTAAACTTAAGACAAAGGCATCGAGAGGAGAGTGAGTTGAGCAGATTCACGAGCAGATTCACCCGTTCGAATGTTATTGAACTGTTCAATCAGAAAAAAAAGATTTTATAATTTCGTTATCATAAATATCTTGAAGCATTTCAAATCAGTTTTTTTTTTATTACATTAGCGAAATTAATATTATGAGTCATGCTAAATTTCATTAATTTGTATGCTGTATATTATTGTTTCTCCAATTACATTTCGATAATTATTTTATAATGGCATGATTTCATATGTTTAGCATGATTCCATTGAACAATTAATAAACGATTGAACAATTCAAGAGATTTTTAAAAATAATTTTCAAAAAGTGAAAAAGTTGATTCCTTTGTTTTTAAGGCAATTGGAAGATGAGCTGCAGGCAAAGGAAAGAAATTGGCGAATGCAAAGAGATGAGTGGCGAAATGAAATAGACAGGTTACAAGAAGAAATCGAGAAGCAACAAAAATTGCTCTCTATTAATTTAAGTAAATCGCCGCAAACTCAAGCGGAGCTTTACATGCAGTACGAAGTGGCTAGATTGACGTCTGAAAATTTGGTAAGAAAGTAATTCTTTTAAATCAAAAATGTTTATTATAAGTAAAATAATTTTTTTTAATAAAAAAAAAGTTTATTATCAATTTCAAATGATTCTGTTATGCTTTTAAATCTATTTAATTAAATCTATTTATATGTATATTTATTTTTTATCGTAAGAAAATGATATTAATTTCTCACTTATAAATATAAAAATTAATATTTATATTTGTCATTTGTATTAAAGGAACTTCAAGAAAAATACGATAAAATAGCGGAGGAGTGCAGACGTTTCAAAAAACAGTGCAGAATCCTGGCGAAACGACTTAAGGATGCTGGATGTAAGTATAATAAATAATTATATACATATTGTCAGAAATATTTAGAAACTCTATTGTTGTGCAATTAGAATTACGTTATGCATCATAAATTACTTTATTTCTTAATGCTATCAAAGACGAAGGGGAGGAACGTCCTTATATGAGAGGCGGTGAGTGCGTGACAGACATCATTATAGTCATTATTTCAATTAAATTATCCGAATAATTTGTATAAATAAAAGACAATAAGCTTTTCGATAGAAAGAAAAAAATAAAAATTGTTTCGTAAAATAGATAGTTGCTGTAAAATGGAGTAACTTGTTTCAAAATCGAGGTATGTTTGACTCAAATTTTTACCAATCTTAATAATTTTAAGTCATTTTACTTGATTTTATCTTGATTTTAAACGTGTTTAGATATTTTTAAAAATTTGAATCAATGCTATTCCAACTAGACAAAAGTTACTTCATTTTATGTAAGTTAAAAATTCAAAATTTTATGAAAAATATAATAAACTATATAGATTATATATAAACTTCATAATTATATATTCATATAAACAATTCGAATCATATAGATTCGAACAATTCGATCACACAAATCATAATTCATCATTGCTTACATATTGTGTCAAACGCAATTTCCTGAAAAGTTCGAGAATATGTCAATACAAACGTCTCAATTTTACAGTGTCTAATGCGGTGGAATACACGAACGGCTGCGTCACCGCTTCTGGTGCTCACGGAGATGGGAGTAACATGCCTATCATTCGCAAAAAGGAGAGAGATTATGAAGGAATGTTCGAATTTAGGAAGGAGGATATCAACGTAATCATACGCCACTTGGTCATTGGTAAGTGTCGGTGTTGTTTCTCGCTTAATAAATTCTCTAACGAAGATTATTCGATTATTTTTTTCTATTTCCATTATACATATGACTTTCGAATTCACAAATTTATATCCAATATTTCCGCTTCTTTCAGAGTTAAGACCCCGAATAGCGGTGACATTATTACCGGGCTTGCCGGCCTACATCATCTTCATGTGCATTAGGCACACTGACTGCATCAACGATGACGAAAAAGTGCGGTCGCTGTTAACCGAGTATCTGAATGCCGTTAAACGCGTGTTGAAGAAACGCGACGATTTCGACTCCAGGGTGCTCTGGCTAAGCAACACCCTACGTTTGTTACACAATATGAAGCAATATTCTGGCGACAAGCCGTTCCAAATCGAGAACACGCCTAGGCAGAATGAACAGTGCCTGAGGAACTTTGACCTGAGCGAGTACCGCGTTGTATTGAGCAACGTGGCTCTCTGGATTTTCAACAATCTCATCACGAATCTCAAGGAGAGAATTCAGGCCCTTACGGTACCAGCCTTGCTGGAGCACGAGGCGATATCCGTTCCGACCGACAAGACTGGACGACCCAGGTCATCGTCCATGGGCGGTGAGCCAGATTCTACACAGCAGAAATTAGACAAACTTTTGGGTGAACTGACATCGGTGCATAAAACCCTGCAGTATCACGGCGTGGATCCCGAAGTCGTAATGCAACTATTTAAACAATTGTTTTACTTCATGTGTGCCAGTGCTCTGAACAACCTGTTGCTGAGAAGCGAGCTCTGTCGATGGACGAAGGGTATGCAGATAAGGTAAGATAAACCGTTAATTCTCAATTTCATTAATTCTCAATTTTGTAGTTGTATTATATTATTCCCTTGGCTTTTTCTGACCTCTCTGTTGGAGATAGTGCTAAAACGTTATATGTATCAAGCTTTAGAATCTTTTCAAAGAGCAAAGCTCGTTTATTTTTCACTTTCAATAACGGTAGATTTATTTAGTCAATTGCACATATAAAAACGTAAGGCAGTTAGACGTAAGCAGAAATCGTAACATGAATTCGTTTCTGGCTTTATGGTCTTCTACCAATTAGCCAATTTGATTACTTATTGTCTTTTATTGACTTTTCTTAATTATGGAGCCATTTTTCGGTTCCTTAAACGCGAAAAATATAGGTGCCACTCATCAAGCCAATTACTCAACTTCGCAATTACTTATTTGATAGTATAATTATAGAAATCCGAATAATCGTTTTATAGAAAATAAATTATAAGGAAAAACTTTTTTATAGATATCTATTACTGTAGACCAATTTAATTACGATAGTAGTTAATTATTATACTTATTTTGAAGACACTGTTATTCAGTGCCTTTAGTACTCTATGTAAGTAATTGATGATTGTCTTTCAATAATAAATGTGTCAGTATTAAATTGATCAATATTTGTAGACTTCTGTAAATTTTTCTTCTTTATCAATTTTTCTAAATCAAGACTTCACAATTATTCATTTTTTAATCCTATGCATTATTACTCGCCTAATAATATTTATAGGAATTATACAATGTTTCGTTTAATATTTAAGGTATAACATGAGTCATTTGGAGCAATGGGGCAGGGACCGACGACTAGAAACCGCGTCGGAAGCTCTACATCCCATCATACAAGCGTCACAGCTTCTGCAGGCTCGCAAGACAGACGAGGACGTTAATTCTGTTTGCGAGATGTGTCACAAATTGACGGCCAATCAAATAGTGAAAATTCTGAATCTATATACACCTGTCGATGATTACGAAAGTCGAGTTCCTGTTTCGTTCATCAAGAAAGTACAAGAAAAACTGAAAGAGCGCGGCGAGAACAACGAACAAGTAAGTTTTCATCATAAGCCGATTGGAAATTATCAACAGATCTGTTTTCTACAGCTAAACTAGTATACACTTCTGGAACTTGAAATTATATATATATATATATATATTTGATATTTGAGGAAAATAAGAAAACTTTAGTCTAGTAATTTTAGTCTAGTCTAATAAGGAATAAAAAACAGATCTAATTATTCGGCAAGATGAATATTTAAAAGAAATTCGCATTTCTGGCGAATCCGAACAAATTTTTTTTCTAATACGTGACAATGATTTCTTTTCAGTTGCTAATGGATTTAAAGTACTCCTATCCCGTAAGATTCTCATTCAATCCATCAGACATTCGACTCGAAGATATCGAAGTACCCGAAGTGCTTCACTTGCCCATGCTCAAGAAGGTGTAACGCAAGCTCTCTCTAGGCGTGATACTGGTCAAGATCCCCGTACTACGGTACTATATTGTGTGTCTTTAGTTGAATTGAAAACGTTATACGCGAATAACCGAAATTCGCTTAGTCCATTTATTCATACAGGAAGTTAGTGATACCGATAATCCGGCTATGTATAGACGTTATATGTAGTATTACGCAGAGTGGCTCATCGATATCACGTTTTATATGTTTCTTTTTTACTCGTGTAATTTGTAGATTTTACGATATGTCGTCACATTCCGAATCGTATTCGCGTTCGAAGTCAATTCTGTTGTATAGATAAACGATCAGGTCTCGATAACGAGAAAGAGCGATATTTTTCATTATTGTTATTGTATAGTGTTGTCGAAATGTATAAAGAAAGGCACGAGTACGAAGTTTTTATAAGGATTTTAGATTTTATTGATCAATATTATTTACGTTAAATAATATTCTCAGAGATAAATTTCTTTTGTAAATTCGTTCTTCCTTGAAATACAAGAAGATATATGTCTCGCATTCATTTCTTTTCAAATAAAAATTGAAAATTTCTGAAAATTTAAGTTAATTAAATTTGGGAATTATGCACGTAACGAAAAATAAGTAATGACGCGATTCTTTTGTATACTTGATCCTTATGAGAATTTCGAATGTACGATAAAATTGAAAACTTGTTAAAGATTGTAATTAATATGTAAAAAGGAGACGCGAAAGAGAAAAGATATAACGACATGTTGGAAATAGATTGTATATTTTGTGATACGAAAAGGAGAGAGAAAGAGTTATTATAAAATTGTGAGTCCGATGATGGACTGATACGAATGAGAAGAAAATACGATAAGGCGACCGAAAGAAACAGTGGTATATAATTGTTGTTGTATTCTAATTTATACATTGTACATGCGATTGTATTTTGTGCCATTTTACAAGTAGATCGTACCAATATTCGTTTGTTATTTCATTCGGTCTGCCATTGTTTCGCGCATTACAAACACATTCCACAAAATAATCTCTGAAAAGCGAGAAAATAACCCTTCCCTGAAGATGTTATAGACAGAATATATTTACACACTTACACCTTGACTCGATGTGACATATTTATTTGTTCCTACAGTGAAAATATTAAAAATAAAGTCGAGGTGCTGGATAGCTCAATGGTAAAGCAATCGCTTGTTCAATTTAAAAGACCCGGGTTCGATTTCCGGTCCTGTCACCTCATATATAGAATATAAGAGAAGAATATTATATTTACTGTGATAGAATATTAAAAAGAAAGAATATTAAAAAAATAGACAACATTAAGGCAATATAAATCATACTACATATTATGATTTAAGAGATCAGAAATCCATAGAGAAATTAAAATCAATAAATATCATCAATCGCATTATTTCTTGATTCAATAACCGTATTGTGAAAAATTCTAATGTACAGTATGCAAGAGTAAATATAGGAAATATAGGAGGAAATATACAAGTGCCTGTAAATTGGGTATCGCTCAATAATTGTATTACCACATTGGTATACAAGTAAAAAATAATGAATTGAAAATTATTTCAGGTCACCTTACTATAATTTTTAATTCAATTGAAGCTTTGAATCATTATTATAAATGTAAAAATTAATACAGCACACGACAGCGAGTAGAACAAAGTATTTAATTAGTAAAACATAATCAAATACTTTAAATACAAACAAAATTTTTAGGTTTCACCGTTGTCATGTGGCGAGCGTACATCGTCAATTTTCAGTATCATCTTCACGAGCTGCGTAGCCAACAAAATTTGTTGTGTCTTGCTCGTCAGTGTTTCGATGACATTCTGTTTCTTCATATCTGTAATAAACGATTCGATGATAATTTTGTAATTACATACATACATACATACATACATACATACATACATACATACATACATACATACATACATACATACATACATACATACATACATACATACATACATACATACATACATACATACATACATACATACATACATATATATATATATATAATATATATATACCATATATGTATGTAAAAAAGTATACAATATGTATAGACAATATGTAAAGATTAATACGTAAAGATTAATACATACTCGGTGTGCCTCGATTTAAACAATCGATTCCAAGAGCGGGATTGTTGTCAGATAATTGACGCGCTTTAATCTCCGCTATAGTATCTACTGGAGAAAGGCCTGAATTTTCCGCAAGCGCCATTGGAACGCTCTCCAAAGCTTCAGCAAAAGCACGGAAGGCATATTGTTCAAAAGTGCCAATTTTATCAGCTTGTGCCATGCATGCCAGTGCGCAAGATATTTCTGCCGCGCCTCCACCGTAAAGAATCCTGCTGTCTTTTACTACATTGCGTACAGTGCACAATGCATCATGTAATGATCGTTTCGCTTCTTCGATAATCTATAAATACATAAAAATAATATCATATTCATTACAAATTCTAAGAATTATGTAAATGACATAAATAAGTGTTGCATCACAAAAAAATAAGTCCAATTAATAGAGACTCAATATATAATAAATTCAATTAACAGAATATTGAATAATTTGTATAATTGCAATGCACTACTATTGCAAGGTGTCTGGTCAATTATGTACATTGGATAAAGTACTACTGAAATTCTCCTTGCATAGAAATTATTAGACGTGTTCAAGTTGACAAGCAAGTCGAGCAATTGAACATGATTGAATCTTATATATAGATCCAATCAATTCACATTCAATCACTCGTTGCATACCATTTTGTTGCCGCCGCGAATGAAGATCGTCACAGCGCGAGAATTCTTGCATTCTTCGATGACTAGCATTCGATCCTTTGTTGTGCCAAATGTTAATTCTCTGACAACACCAGCATGGCCAAGTTTTTCTGGTGTCAATTCCTCGAAGCGAGGTACAATGCGTCCACCGGTTGCAATGGCAATTAGCTGAAAAGAAGATTTGATTTCCTTAAGTATTTAACGTACAAAATGCATAATACAACAAAAAGATTGCTATTATTTCAGGTCTCATAATCTTTGGATCATTGGAGCCACCACGAGAGCCAGATCACCAACTACCCGATTTTGAAAGCTTTTTATTTTTTCTCGAAAGTTAATATAATATTAATTTACAAGAAAATACAAATACTTTCAAAACTAAGAGTCAGTTCCCCAAACTTTCGCACCTCCTCTAGCGCTTTTTTCTCATCATTAAAGCACATTGCTATGAAAATAATTTAGAAATTAAAGAAAAATGGAAGACATTACTTACTTCAATCTCTGGACCGCCAACCCATCTAACCGCAGGCAAATTATTTTGCAACAGGAGATGGTTGGCTTCATCGTCAAAGCCCCATTGACAAATAGCCAGGGTCGTACCAGCATCTTTAACCTGCTTCACCATTTCCGTAAACTTTTCACGCTCGTAATCGCGCAAGGCTCTATAATCGTCGACTGATGTGACATCCAACTTATGTTTTGTTTTGGGTTTTGGTGGTTCAAATGGACAAGTCAAGATGGCTAATTTGACATCTTCTAACCTCTATAACATTATATAGAGATTAAATATATAACTTATTAATTATAATGTCCAACATGAAATATTTTCCGAACTTTACTTTAGGCATTTGTGGATGACTAAAGTCCTTGTCGACAACCACTCCACGTACTAAAACAGTATCTTCCAATCTACCACCGACTTTTCCTTCTATTTTGATTAGCTCAAAATTAACATCGCGAGTAACAGGATCCATAACTGCCAATACAGCTTGAACAGCTATTTCTGCCATCTGTCTATGATGCTTGTTAATGCTGCAATACATAAGAAAATTGTATGAATAAAAAAAGAATTACAAATAATTTATAAGCAATACTTTATAAGCAATAAGAGAGCAATAAGAGAATACTTCATTACATTTTTGAACCTAATGAGGTCATAGCTATGTCAATGTAAGGCTCCAAATTCTCTGGAGTTCCCTTGAAATCTTCTGTTATTGTCTTGAGATGCTCAGTCGAACATTTAGCTGCAAATTCAAAACCATCAGCGATTCTGATCGGATGAATTCCCTTGTCTAGCAACTGTTCAGCTTGTTCTAGAAGTGCACCGGCTAATACAACTACTCCAGTAGTGCCATCGCCAATCTCATCATCTTGAGAGTTTGACAATTGGACCATCAACTTGGCAATTTCATGTTCTACATCCATATTTTTCAAAATTGTTGCACCATCATTAGTTACAGTAACATCTCCATCTGAATTTACCATCAACTTATCCAGTCCCTTGGGTCCTAAGGATGTTCTAAGGATGTTAGCAACATTGCGTGCTGCCAGAATGTGTGACTATAATCAAAGAATTTCAATATTTCCTGTATTTAAAACTCTAATTCATCATACACGTCAATTTTTTATTTAACAAATTAATTTCATAACTTAAATATTAAAATTACACTTTCAAAAATTACAATTCTCTTCGAATTTAAAATAAAAAAAAATCTTGAAAATTTACACATATATCTCTCATGAAATAAATTGTGGGTTTATAATTTCGTAGCTCTTTCGCAATGTCTATCAAGCTATTGATCACCTTATATGGTCACAAAGACTCCAAGGTCTCTTAAAGAGAAACTGATATATTAATCTGGAATCTCATCCACCATTCTTAAGTTATAAGTCAAAATCCAAATAAACGAGAGAAAAAAAATCGCTTTTGTACACTCTAGCATGAATATTTCACTTTATTCATTTCCAAATCTTAAAACATCGCCATTACTGTTCACACGTGGTCGAGCGTCTTTCATGTATTTCTCGTGGTCCGGAGGAACCATAAAACGGAACTTCGGCGACGCGTCGACGAGACGTCGATTACGTACATACATCCGCAAGAGAGACTTACGAATTGACGTAAGAAACGAAACAGAAAAACGCGAATGCGAGGTTTGTCGCCATCTCACCTTGATCGCATCATGACCGGTAAGGCGTTGCTGTTTCTCCTGATTACGGATAATAATGAAGGGCCGGCCATACTCGTCAAACGCCACTGTTCCGGGTATAGCAGTCATCTTGATGACCTGGCGTGATCCCAAACGGATCGATTATTTCCTCACAAAACGGCCGTTCTTTCCAACACCAACGGTTTCCTTGATGATGTGCTGCAATATAAGCGCTGCTTGCAAATCGATGCAATCGGAACAACGTCATCGTGGAGAAACGAATCTCGCGCATGCGTGATTGGCGCAGTTTTCGTCTCGTTTCGTCAGTTACGTATACTATTTGCTAAAATGAAGGATGTCATGAGAACCCTCGTGGAAAAGGAGAGAAACATTAAGTATAAAAGAATGTTAAGTATAAATATAGAAAGTATATATTTTAGTATAAGGAAGAATATATTATTAATCTTGTAAATCATCAAATAGAATATTGCTGAATATTTCTGTAGTAAAATTCTATTTATTAATATAATTATCTTGATAAAGAAAAATAAAAATTATTTACAATGTAACAAAAATATAATTGCGTTAAAATATAAAATTTACTAGCTGTAATTAAATACAGAATATTTTTTTACATATATCAGTGATCTTTATATAATTGTGTTAAAAAGAATATTATTATATAAAAGAATATATATAAAGAATATATATATATATAAAGTTGTACTAAAATTGTAATTATTAATATTAGGATAGAAGAAAAACAAGAACGGAGAAAAAAGATAAAAATTATTTGCAACATAACAATAAATAAATAATATAAAATTTGCTAGCTTGTAGTCTTAATTGTGTAATTAATAAATTTCTTTGCTTATGTATATAATATCATAATGCAATATTTAGCATACAGCACTTAATATATATTTAAACGTATTATTAACGCAAACTTATTGCAAAATATTAGTTCATGGACTCCAGGAAATGTTCTGTATAGATCTTAGCACGAGTCTGTTAAAGTCCATGTCCAACATATAATTCACGTGCATGAAAGTCCCACTCGAAGAAATTCTTCTAATTCGTAATAAAGAAACAGACCAGAATCAAGAGACAAACAAGCAAACAGACCAATCGTGCGAAGCTCATTCATTTCATTTTTTATTTTAAATTATGAGAGCTGTTCTTTTTTTTTCGAAAAAGAAAGTTCTGATTACTGAGACTACTAGAGAGAAACCTGAAAGAGAATCTTTTTCCTGTAATCGCAAAATGCCGCCGCGCACTACTGCCCTCTGAAGAAGTGGATATAAACTACACAATATCCATTTTTTTTGCGGTATTCCTAATGGAAATTTAAATCGCTGAAATCTCCGAAATAACTATCTATCAAATTAATAGAGATTTAAATTTTTCTCTGCCTGTATTAATAGTTAGATAGTCAGATGTTATATTTAAGATCATCTTAAGTACAATCTTAACATGTCATGAACCAATCAGAAAGTCGTATTAACAATTATGTTTTTTTAACTCATTTTTAGCTCATTTTTATCAAATATAATTACTAGTATGTAAGTATGTCCCAAAGTCTCTACAATTATTAGCAAATTATAGAAACTTTAAACACACTTCAAACTTTTTCAATCTATATCGTTAATTTAAGATTTAATTTAGCAAAACCGAGTTAGAAGTCTTTCATCACTCTCGCCGATTTTATCGGCGGTCTTCTTTTCTTTGTAAATATAATACTCATCCATAAAAAAACGGGCTACTAATAAATTTAGTAGTCTGTTTTTGCAGGTACGTATATTTAAAATTTTTTTATTTTTGTGTTTAATTATTTTATTGTATTTTTTGCTAATTATTATTATTGCATTATGATTATACGAAATGATAAAATAATTAGTAATCATATTGCATAACTTTTTTAATATTATATTTTCTCGTAATGCTTTTTACATTCAATAATACAATAATAATTGTTTATAATACAATATACAATTATAAATGCTGTTCGAAATATAGTAAAAAATTATATTATAGGAGCAATATAATTAACAAAATTTAGTAATGTAGGATTATATGAAAATGTTGAAAAAATATGACACAAATTTTTTTAAATCAATATTTAATAAAATTTTGAGAAAAGCTGAATGAAATATTAATAATAATTAGATCGTATTTACTATTAATTATTAACTTACGATTGTAAAACTTAATGATATTTAAAGTCATTAATATAAAAAATCATTAATATATTTATATAACAATACTTTCATCATATTCAAGATAACTATCTCAATAATTTCATCATATTAAAGTTCGCCTTGTGGTATGCTAGTTAATATCCGAGACAAAGAAGAACAATTTTCATGTTGGAGAGCGAACTTAATATATTCTGATTTTACGTCAAATTCACAAGATCCATTTACAAAGAAAAGTTAATCAATCCATCAAATACTAGATCTTGTTAGAGGAGGATATGAATCCCGAATCTTTCAAAATACTTACGATAATAATAATTTTGATAGTGTATCAATTATAATTACCATTTTTATCGCATCTTTCATATAAAATTAAAAATTCGCGGGAAAATATGTTCTGCTATACATCACTAAAAATCATCTCTTATGAAAAATAAACGGATAGAATGATTTCCTTATGGAGGAATATATTTAATAATAATAAAATACTTTAATAACAATAAAATAATAATAAAATAGTTATTGTAATTTTTTTATGTATGAGTACAAAGGTTTCTCGAGTACCAACTGTAACAGAAGCACCGTAAAAAAATAGATATTGTTGTGTAGTTTGCATCCACTACTTCAGAAAATAGTGTGCAGGGGCATTTTGCGATTATAGGAAAAAGGCTTTCATAGATTTCCTCTCTTAGGTTTCTCTCAAATTATATTTGTTTTGTTTTAACTTATTATATCAGTGTACATCGGTTCAAAACATTCTTTGAAAAAAAAGAGATTTGTTTCTTATTAATAGAAATATTTTTAGGAAATGAAATTTGTTTTTCACATGTAACGCTACTATCTATAAAACAGTGTGCAAGATATATGCAATAATAATCCGACGTTTTGCGTGATAATATATATATATATATATATATTAGAAAGTGATAATACACTTCATGTCAATAATATAATAGTTTTGTTAAAATTTTGTCTCAGATTTTGTCTTCAAAATTTTAAGACTTTTTTTAACGATTTCAAGATGTCTAAAGCTTGCGTCAGATTATGTGCAATTTGTATATGATTTGTACTCTTTGATTTGACAAAAACCGCTCTATAATTGATGATTTAGCATGAATAGTGACGAATATAAGTTTAATGAATATGATTTGCACTATTCTCATAGAAATCGCAAATTTCGAACTATTTTCGATCACGAATGTTCTTTAGGTAACTTTCACAAAATCATCTTTAACAGTATCGCATCAGTGTCCATCATTTTCGACTTTTGGTAAAATATATCGAATTCTCTGTTTTAGCGGCATATTTGTTGATATTCTTTTAATTCACTTCTAACACTCAATTTTTTTCAGATAAATAAATTGTTTCACGATGAAAAAGTGGATTATTTCCTCTTCTTTCGAAAATTTTTAGAGAAAGAAAAAGATATCAGAATAGAATCACTTCCGTTATTCCAAAAAATTATATCTTTCATTTATAAATTCTTAAAATAAATATCCGAACATATCAACCGATAAAAAATTTCTTTATTTAATTACTCCACCATTTTATTTTTACGTTTAAATTATTTCTAAAATATCTCTTAAAATTTAAATATATAAAAATAATTCTGCAAATATTTTGAATGAAAAAGAAGTCCATGGGAACCAAAGATCCTTCTAAAGATTAAAAAATTGATAGAAAAAAATTGCATGTCACTGCTCACGTAAAATCTTTCACAGCAATGCAGATTAAAGCAGCCTATCTCGCTCGATGATATCGATTAATTACGATGTCGTAATTTCACCGGGAAACGAGTTTTCGTTTCATTCTATCTATATTGTGCAATAATAGCAAGCGGTAGTCGAAGGATCAGAATCAAGCGAGTAGTCGACGAGTCGACTACTAACGGGTAGTATAAACTTTGACACCGCGGGGCATTATTGCGATAATTAAATGAACTACCCGTCAAAGAGAGGAAGAGAAAGAGGAGATGGAAGAGAAGAAGAAGGTATGGAGGAGGAAACTGCAGAAACTACGAAAATGCAAGCGCGGGTGCTCACTCGTGCGTTGAAATATACATCTCGCACCTCTTCGCTTTCCCGCTTGGCGAACTTCCATTAAAAGGCCCCGGTAATGCGCGGGTTATGGCTTCAATATGCAGTAAAAGTAGCCCTCACTGTATGCCCCGCGCTCATCTAAAGCATCCCTCGCTCATCCTCCCAACCTCCATCGTTCCGGGGTATTCGCGCTCGTGATATGAAAGATACGGCAGAGCCCGGGGAGACACCGAAGCACTCCATCCCCAAGATCGAAGAAAGTTGGTGAATAGAGAAATAATCGCGTTGATGTACGTATACGCAAAACTTGTGAAAGAACGTCGTGAATAAAGAGGAACGGTGTGCCCAAGATAAATCGTATCCGAGATAAAAGAATAATCCGAAAGAAAAGATATCCGAAAGAAAAGAGAGGATCGTCCTCTCTTTTCTGATTTTGATAAAACAAATTTATAAAACAAACATCATTCTTTAATCAGAAAGTTGGTCTTTGCTAACATTTTTTGCACTCAGAATCTTTGCTTTCTATCTCTTCTTCTCTGATATGTATATTGTATCTTTTTATTTTTAAAGTGTAAAAATTTTGAAGGATTTCAAATAGGACTGATTAATTGCTTCGAAAAATTTCGACATTCGAACTTCGAAACTTCAATATTAAAATGTTTGAAGAACTAAAATTATATAATTATTAATTTAATATGGTTAAGTAATGGAAAAAATAAAGTGATACAATTTTAAACGTGATATAATTTGGAACAAAATAAAATTAATCAATTTTCGAAATCAAGTTTGGTAAATTTAATCTCATTACGTGGAGGATATTGAAGAATATCAAACAGGAAAAATCAAACTTGGACTTCGAAAAATAGATTCAAATTTTATTAATTTCGGAATTGTACTGTATTTGAAATCGTACTATCTTATCCTACATTTTCATTAAAAAATATACAAATATATTTACAAATACTTATATATTACGAATATACATTTTTTTTTCTATTTGTATAAATATTTTTTTTCGACGCTTCGAAGT